GAAATTTTTTTTCTGACCTACAAGCTCGTTTGAATGAACATTGCACATTTGCACTGTTACTAGAATCAAACTAAGCTAATTGAACTGACTTTGAAATGTCATTTTGGATGTTGGTCAAAGTCGTGATAAGAAGAGGGCCGTATTAAACGAATTATGCATCCCAGTTAATTGGCCAGCTGGCTCAATATCAACCACCCTAATTAACAAGCCAGTGTATACGAAGTTAACCCTCCCGATCCAAGAGTAAAATGAAAATGTTTTGTGATTTTGGCTTCCGTAAACAAAAGAGAGGGGACTTGTTCTCAGAGTAAAAAATCGATCTGTCAATTAGTTTTATCACGGTGTATCATTGTTTTAACGAACCAATCACAGAGCCGGAGAGCCTTTCCCTATACCTACCCATTCGCCGGTATACCCCTCCCCCCATAATATACATTAAAATTACTACTTTTACAGCTCGAACGGGCAAACCGAAGCCCAGGGCCTCCCAGAGAAATTAGTAAAAATATTACACCTTTTGTGGCCCCCCTTTTGCAAATTTTGGGGCCCCTGGGGATTTCCCTCATTCCCCCCCCCCCCCCCCCCCCCCCTCCCTCCTCTGGGAAGTCCTGCCGAGGCCGCTTTTACATATTCTTGATGTTTTCAAACTAACCAAAACCAATCACCACCGGGTTATTTTGACTAAACATTTTCCGGTTTTGAACTTATGACATAGCCGTAGGTCTAAATAACTCGCTGCTGATTGGAGTGATTGGTTTTGGCTTAGTTTGAAAATATTAAAAATATTCAAAAGTGACCTCGGTTTGCCCGTTCAAGTGACGAGCTGTAATGCAAACCTAATTATATAGCGCCTGTGCATGAGGCAGCGCTTGAAATTTATTTCCACAAAATGTCCGTGCATTGCGATGATTACAATTTCATTTTTCTTAATTCAAAACAGCAATGGAGATATATAGTAGATGCATCTCACTGACTTTTTCTTCGCACGTCTAATTAGATAAGGTATGATTTTAACTGGCTGAGTTGCCAACCTCGAGACTCGACTGACCGGAAGTGGGTTGATTTATCTTCACTTCCGATCCGCTTTGAGTACCTGCTGATGGGATATAAATTCTCCTCAGTATCATTGACATCTGATTGGATAAATTGTTTTAAAGCTGAATTATGATTGGTTGTTTGGAAAGGCGTCCTTTGACGGTTCGTCAATGCACGGGATTTCGACAGTCGACATCTACAAAGGCGCTTTCTGGGATCAATATCGATTAAAATCGGCAGTTTTAAGACGTTTTTGGATTGGTTTTCGATACACACAAGTGAGAATAGGAAGGAATAGGTTTGTAATTCAACTTTTTTTCTTTAACTTGATTTAAAACTCGTTTAGTAAAGGAATTTAGGGACGTGTTTCGTTGGCGCCATGTTGAACTTGTCACGGCGGCATTTGAATAAATTTTAACAAACAAAATGCCTTTCACCAATGGTGAGTGGAGAGCCGTATAAAATTGACGTCAAATCTGTAGTGAAGTGTTGAAAATCTTTATTTGTCGAGTATTGCTTCAACTATTGCTTTACTTTTAGCTTTCAATTAAATTTAAATGATAATAAATATGATATATTGTGAGCTGTAGCCTATACTATTTTCTTGTCTGCCTGACTATTTTTTGTCGCTAAAAGTTGTAATAAAAAACAATATCCTACTTTTAGCTTTGGGTTGCCAGTTGAGTGGGTCTCCCTAACTTTAAAGTTTGAATATACTATTTGTAGGGGATATTGCGAAACACATTTCGCTCCTGGCCGTAGCAATATATAAAATAAGCTAGAACAGATGCCGAACGGCAATTATATGCAAAATCAGTTCTTTCATTTCTTTATGTGTTTGGCTGTGTCAATAGACTGCACATGTGCAATGCTTAGAGATTGAGAAGGTATTGTTCGATGTTGTCGCCATTGCTATGTCTATGACTATTTCATTGATTGCTATATTTTGATGTTGATCAGTGTAAAGTAATCATATTTTCAATTTCGTTTTTCATTTGATTGATCAAAAATTTCGAGTAAACTATATAGTGTAGCCAAATGTTGTCATACATTTTGTTGCTAACGTATTAAAGAGATATTGGCTTCTTTGTTTACGTTTCTCGCGCATGTCGTATTGCCGCCTGAAGTCAGATCAAATATCTCGCAGGACTATACTGTAGCTTTGTTTACATTTGTGAATTGTGGTTTGGTTTGAACTGCCTGAGATAGACTGATTAATAGTTATTTTGATGCAACAGAGTAGATGCTTCAGTAAATATCATATAGTAATATGCCAAAATAGTATCGTAGATGAATAAAAACACTCTTGGCAGTCTTGGCCAAACGACATATTGCCGCTTTGTACAACAGGTTAATCGACATTCAGCCTTTATTGTGTCTGGCTTTTGGTGTGTGTTTTATAACTATACTAGTATTATAGAAATGCTAGCCTAGGTTGGATATATTTAATGCACATTCTTACGCAGTTAGAATATTATTTGGTCGCTTAGCGTTCAACGACGATACTGTATAAAAGACTGAACTAATGAGTAATGATATTCAAATGATGGGCAGACATCACTTCCGTTTGGTAGTTGCTTTGCTGTTGGTCGATATATCTTGACGGATGATGAGCGTTATTAAAAATTAATTACCCTCACACAAAGCTCATTTTTCATACTTTATACGTGCAGTGATACACGCACGGAGAAGTTTAAATATATAATTTATAATAAAATTTATAATGGTATACAATTTAGAAAGATTTAAAGTTACGGTGCGTATACGTACGTATGAAAAACTCTTACAGTCAATTTCAGCTGACTTTTCATCGTAAGATTCCGAACTTCGTTCCAAACTTCGCAAATTCGTTGCGAAGTTCAAAAGTTCATAATGAAATTCACAAACAGGTTTGTAAACAAAGCCTCTGATTGGCTATTAAATCAAGCCAGCCAATCAAATGCCCAGTTTACAAACCTGTTTGTGAATTTCATTATGAACTTCTGAACTTGACAACGAATTTGCGAAGTTCGGAACGAAGTTCGGAATCTTACGATGAAAAGTCAGCTGAAATTGACTGTAACTGGAAAACAGCCTTAAGTTAATACTTATCGACTGTGTCAGTGTGTTTGTGACCGAGGGAAACAGTATGGCATCAACATACTGTTTCCTGAAAGTCCCAGTCAATATGTATATTTATTAATTAATGTAATGATATACCAAGACGTCCAAGTATCAAAGGACAAAGAAACAAGAAACACAAATAGAAACGGGAAAGCTCCATAATTCTTGCTCCACAACTGAACGAATTTGTTCTTCTTCGGTGAATAAAAAATGCATGTGGTGCATGTGGCAACATTTGATGACTTTCATGTGTTAGACTCTTGTCCAGTCAGATGCAAGAATACATGAACTTTGAGAGAGCAGTTGCGAAAAACTGCAACCATGTAGGCAGATGTCGAACATTTACGTTACGGCCACTATGTTAGTGGTATGTCAACAAAAGAATCTTACTATTATCTTTCATTGAATTTCACCAATATCCACATTACCGCCATGCTATTTAACAAATAGATAAGATTTGCCGTTGTCTGTTGAGATATAGATACAGTACACAGAATGACGTTATAATGTGGGAAGAACAAAAAAGTTGCTCACGAGCCGCTGAGACGAGTGGGTCACTTTTTTGTTCTTCCATGCACATTATGATGTCATACTTTATTTTTATAACTGAACAGACAACGGCAAAATCTTATCTATTTGTTTTACATAATAAAACGAAAACCCTCGATTTAATCAAGTAAATAGCTTGCTTTTTATCCACCCAAACATTTGGAAATTTGAAAAAGTCAAAATTTTACAAATATCACGCGTACATGATCTATACAAATAAGGGAATGCTATTGGATAAAGTGTTGTGTGACGTAATTCCGTGCGTCTGTCCTCTAATAGATCATGGCTCTCGGCCAATGAAAGCGCTTGAATTCTTAACGTTATTATATAATGCCTTTTAATTCCCAAGAGATTGCTTCCAAGGCTATACGTCTTTTATATGCTCAGGTGACGGTGAAAAAAATGCGATTTCGACCAGCAATATTTATTTGATTCGTATTTTGGCATTTTCCTTTATAATGATACAAAAAAGATATCGTTCGACTACTAAAAGCCTGAATTTTGTAAAAAGTTAGGGCTCAACATGTGTCGCGAATATAATCTATTGATAATTTCGGACGTGTTTGACAATTTCCTCGTATAGTAAATTCAGAGGTGGAGCTCATGCTGATATAACCAGTCGGGGGCAGGGGCGGATCTAGGATTTTTCAAACATAAGTCGAACGCCGAAGGCGTGAGACATGATAAGGGGTCTGGGGGCATGCCCCCGGAAAATTTTGAAATCTAGAGTCTCTGAAATGCGATTTCAAGCGTTTTGGCGGTGAGATTTTGCAGAATTCCAAAGATTATAAAGTACATCAAGCACATGCTTTTTTTATGATCTCACAGACGTGCCTTCTCCCCGTCCTCGGAATTAGATTTACTAACGGAGGGTCATATTACAAAACACATCATGTAGTTTCAACTTTCAATAGCCTTTGAGTTTGGCTTATGAAATCCTTCGCAAATTGAAGTGATATGATACCAATGACCGATCCAATATAACTCGCTTTTTGTGAATCAAAATTTTCAAGCAAAATAAAGAGTAATAGTTCAATTATATTTTGTAAAATGCATTTTTTATTCAATGAATTACAATATGCTATAAATATCACTTGTATATTATAACGATATTCATCGCAATTCTTTCATGCAATGCAATCATCCAAATGATATTGTTTTAACACTCCAATGGCAGTGCTCTATTCTGGCCCTTTTTATAATGGGCAATGCATTTATAAATTATAAATTCAGCAGGAAAGCTATAAGGCAGGAAAGCTATAAGGCCCGAAAGCGCATTGTAAGTTGCAAGTCGATTGCGTGTAAAAATGTATTAAAGCGTGTTATATTTCAACTTCGTATTTATCCTACAAGATACATTGCAATATATTAATTTCTGTTTCATAATTTTGGATATTTTCATACATTATAGCAGTGCACACTTTCCCTTTGGCTTTACCACCCAAATTACGACCATGATCTTTGTGAAGCACGTAGCAGAGAAGTCCCAACTTAGTGCCTTCTCGTTGTTGAACAGAACAACATTTATAAAAGCTGCTCACTTGATATCTAGCTTAGCTGCCCCACAATAATCCTCATTCAGAGACAATTCAAGTTTATTAAAGGCCGTTAAATCGTCTCATAAAATCGGCCGCGTACATATAAATACTCGACATCGTAAAATAATTCTCCCAACTATGAAAAACCTTCATATACGGGAATATGAAAGACTGCTTTGCATGAATTTCGCAATTTTCAAGGACTGATATCCCCAGCCGCGAATAAGTCCAAATCAGTCCAAAATGAACCAATAGGAATTGTCAATAATTTCAAATTGACCAATCAAAATGAAAGAAATGGACTGATAAAAACTCCCTTAAAGTGCAAATTAGTCGGACCACCCCATAAAAACTCCCTTAAGTTGCAAATCAGTCCGACCACCCCACAATATTTTCAAATTGACCAATCAAAGGAAAGAAATGGCCTGAAAAAGACTCCATTAAAGTGCAAATCAGTCCGGCCACCCCACAGATCAGTCGAGATAAGTCCAAATGACCTCCCGACGCGACCACCCGATTCTGCGAGATTCTTGCGTTTTACCGCTGCTCTAGATAAAGCATATATTTATTCAAAACTGAGCTCGTAAAGACGTATACTGGACTATGATATGAATTTCATATTATATTCGGGAATTAATGATTCAAATTTCGAAGTAATAAATTAATTATTTCTATTAATTATTAATTATGGTGCAAATGGGGAGGGGGTCATACCTTTTTGTGCACTTGAAAATGGGGGGTTGCATAAAATTCTGCAACCATTTTTGGGGTCATACATTTTTGTGCATTCCATTTTCCTATATATTCTACAAAAGAAAACAGCACTGAAGGGATCAACCACAGTCAAATTTTTAATATTTATATGAAAACAAAACAATGTAGTGACAACTACAAGCATAGGCGTACGGGATTACAAAGTCGAAAAGTCGGGCAAATGTTCAACAAAAGTGGGGCAAAAGTGGGGCAAACCAAGCTAGTTGAGCAATATTCTCTTCACAGTCGTGCAATATTGGGTTATTATAAAAATAAATGGGATAAATTCTGCGAATTTTGCGGGAAATAATGTAAATTTTGCAATGTTTGGGAAAATTTATTTGATGTTCCGAAAAATTTAGGTGTGTCCGAAAAATTTTTGGACCCCTAAAATGGTACACTGACCGAAATTTTTTTGGCGAGAGGGGGAGGGGGGGAGGTCGCCAAAATTTATTGTTCCGGAAAAAAAATTATAAACTGAGGGTGGGCCATGCCATTTCATGTGCACTCCCTTGGGGGGGGGGGCACATTATTTTATGCAGTGACAGGAGCAGGGCCATATGAAATTATGTTGAGGAAAATGAAAATCCACCAGCCCACCCCCCCCTTCTCTAATAAATGACCGGTCCCTAAGTACCTTCTCAATGCGACTCGAACCCAGTCCCCATGTGAAAAGAGTAAAAGTCAACGCTCTGCCGAAAGCCGTGGGTTTTCCCCGGGTACTCCGGTTTCCTCCCACAGGGAAAGTTGACAGGGTGGGTTAGGTAAAAAAAAAGGGCCCACAGTAATTGGCATATGCTGTTGTGGTGACCCTGCCCTAGTTGGCAAAGCTAAATAAATAAATAAATTTACATGTGGATAAGATCAAATGCGCTTTGCATGAAGTAATGCGCTTACCATACTTAGCCTAGACTATTTTATCATTACAACAATTGTGATATTTAGACTATTTTATCAGACTATTTTATCATTACAACAATTCTTAACTGTGTTCATCCCATAGAAATAATAGATATAGAATGCGTACTCCTATCTTTTCTCAGTGAAAAATTTGTCTCCACAAAATGGCGGATTTATAAGGGCATTTTGGTTGGTCCCAGACTCCTGAGGCGGGGGATTTCGCGGAGTGCAAACTTTGCAAGTTTGCAAAAATTTTATATCGAGATTTAAAATGGAAAAAAGTTTTACAAAGAAGAAAAAGTGTCTAAAAACCCATTCTAGTGGGCTTTTTTACGAAAGCAACAGTTCTGAACAGAATATATACAGAAATCGTCGTTTAAAAATATATTTTCAACGTTGTTGTGCAAGCCAAAACAAAACCCGAAAGATCAAGACAAACTCAAACTCGATAGGTATGTTCTATAAATATTTCAACTCTATTATAATATAAATGAAGTTCAATAATCTTTTTAAACTTACACAATTACTTTTCATATTTCTCTACGTTGCTTGAGCTTGAGGCAACGCTTTTGAAATCATAGTTTTCGACGATTATTCATAGGCAATTTACAGTTTATCGACAACTAAATATTTTTGTTTCAAGAACATGTGAAACACTTCGTTTACATTGAAGAAAAACGAAACCCGCAGACGAAGAAAGAACTATTATTTTGTAATCTTATAAAATATTAGCAAAACCGTGAAGTAGTGACGTTCAGAGCATGCAAAAATGTTTTATAAGTAAATTTAATATATTTACGCGAAACTACTTTGTTTTTAAAAAGGCTGCAGAGCGTAGACTGACTCTTTTCACATGAGTCCGTCGTGAGAATCAAACCCACGAGGTGAAAGACGCTTGTTCTGACGACTGTGCCACCTAAACCCCAATTAGCCTTTTCCCAAAAGAGATCACAGTGCATTCTGGGATCGTTTGGAGGGACAAATATGTGAAAAATTATGTGATTAATATGTATCTACTATCAAATATCAACTTTTAGACGACCAAAAATGAAATATCTTCTTTTTACATTAAACATTTAATTTAAATGTGTGTTGCCATATTTCTTGTCCCTCCTACATGGGATTCGCGCAACTAGACCCAGGATTTTGAGAAATGTCTAATGGGTAAATTTATAGTTAAATATGCTGCCAACACTGGACGAATAATTGCTCATATCCGCAAAGGAACTCTCCTTTCAAAATCTTTGTCCCCGAGCCGAGGGTACTAATTGCGAGGGTACTAATTCCCCCCCGGCTATTTACACCCGGGGAAACGAATTAACGAAAGCATTAGCGAAGTCTAAAGTTACCAATGATCACGGGCGTGGCTCACTGTGCGTGGGTGGTCATCCTCACTGATCTCAAAAATATGGCGGACTGTCATGAATAGCGAACACTGTGATTGGTCCAATTTAAAGTTTACATTATAACGACTGCATGACGACAGTGAAATAGCAAACATTTCTTGATTTGATGATTGATGAATTTCTTGCAAATATATTTCATTTTTGCTCGCATTTTTGCAAGATTTTGTAAATTTCAAGAAAGAAAGGGCGAAAGAATCGGCTAAAAGAAGGGAGCCGACGTTAACGAAGGTAAGTTTGTTTTAAATATTGATTTTATAATTGCTTTAAAACCCAACGGCCTTTGCGTATATGAAACAACTAAACAAGGCAGCATATAATTTCAGTGTATCTTAAATATCGATTCCCTTTTTTATTATCAAATTGATTTTTTTAAATAAAAAGGAAAGCAAAGTTATTTGCATGCGATAATTTGAAATCATTTTATTGCAAACTCAATGTTTATCGATAAAGCAATTTAATTAAAGGCAGTTTAGCCAGTTTTATAAAGAACACTTTAAAACGTTTTGCGAAGCGTTTGTGGTTGAATTTTATCTTAAATTGAAGCTTATAGGCCTATTACGTATAATATCATACCTAACATGTATATGTTGGGAAATTGATAATTTTGTAATTAAAAGTGAGATTTTTAGGCGATTTTTCATCTGTAAGAATATTCTTAAAAAATTATCGTGTTACCATGACAACTACTTTAGATACTTCATGTTCGGAAAATACAATGGTTTTGTCAGCAAGGCGAGGGTTTCTGCATGCATGTATTTTCTAGTTCTAGCAATTAACAATGCTTTTCCTTTGTAAAGCCTGCTTGGTGTAGCAGAATAAAAGATGTGGAATGGACTGTAACTGGAAGCGAGTTAATCATGCAAAAACTGTTTTATTTTGAACAACTTAAAGGGGCAGTGTCACGGTTCTACTGCGCATCCGAAATATGCGCGAACTTGAAAAAATACCATTGATACTAAAGAGAAGCTCAGATTGAATCTTCACTCATTGAGTGTGAGTGAGCTTTTAGAATACGTACGTAAGTCTGCCGAAACAGTTTTTTAGAGTTTAGATATAAATAATTATGATGTTATTTTCTAATCGACATCGCTAAGTTTCAATTTACAAACACTTTAATAAATTTCAAAGTGGATTGTACGGTCGTGGCCGCGAAATACACGACGTTTGCTAAATACGGCCGAGTCGGTCGGAACGATTTTTAAGTCTATACTATATATATACGGTGTTACCATTTAATAGTATCGTCAAGTGTTTCTAACAGCAATATAGACATCGCTAAATCTAAACGGCCAATACACAAACTCATTGTTGCTGCTTACTAAATAGTGAAAAGGTCAAACGCGAAACGATTTTTTGTGCTTATAATAATGCATTAGTATCACCTTTGAAACTGGAGTGGCTAGGTTGATCATGAACTTAAAAAATGAACATGGTCAGTCTATTTTGGCACGAAAATCTCTAGGCTGGGTAACACTTGAAGAGCGTAGGGCACAAATGAAAGCCAGGCTCATGTACAAGACAGTTAATGGTTTAGC